GTGATGTATTTTTATCGATTATTGTACTAAATAAAAAAAAATGCGTGGAATTTTAATTTGAATAGTAAAAGGTCGCTCGAAAAAATCTAAACTAATGCACTAATAATTTGAAAAAAATTATGAGCGACCTTTTCTGAGTTTCTGAAAATTTCAGTTCAAAATTCGAATTTTGAAAGGTCGCTCATGATTTTTTTCAATTTATTAGTGCATTAGTTTAGATTTTTTCGAGTGACCTTTTACTATTCAAATTAAAATTCCATACATTTTTTTTTTTTTATTTCGTACAATAATCGATAAGAATACATCTCGAGATGAACTAAAAATCAAGCACAACATAGAAAATGTAATTTTTTTTTAATTTAATAATTTTATTTAATCAACTGCCAGGCTTGAGTTCGAATCCCAAGCTGGTCTTAGAAACCCTCTTGGTTGAGATTTGACCTTGCCGCGTTTGTTAAGATTTTTTCAAACCAAAAAGACCCCAACGTACCACTCCCAACACTTAAAGTCGGCAATATGACTAATTAACGAAAAATAAAAAAAATTATGAGCGACCTTTCAAAATTTAAATTTTAAACTGAAACTTTCAGAAACTTATTTTTTTTTGGTCTATAAAATTATACCGTAACGAGAAAAAAAATTCAATTTTTGTCGATTTTTGAAATTTTGAAATTTTGAAAAAGGTCATTTCTTAATTATTGATATTTTTTTAAACATGTAAGCTCATCCTGATGTTACGCTCACCAAGAGCTTTCATTTGAGTACCCACATGCATTTTGATATATTTTTCATATATACATATATATAATATATATAAATATATGAAAAATTGATGTGGGGACTCAAATGAAAAGTTTTGACGAGTGTAACATCGGGATGAGCTTATATCTTTAAAAACGTCAATAGTTCACGAGATACAAGGTCATTTCTTAATTATGTATCTAGGGATAGAGAATTTTCGAATGCAGCTTAAAAATACTTATCATCATAAATTGAATATTGGTGAGAATTATATGAAACCTTGAAAAGGCATAAGTCCAGATCAAGACTATTCCAACGATACCAAATTTAACCATAAAAACCCATTTTATCATATAAATACACTGGCCGCAAAATTTTGTTTATTCTTTTAATAATATAGATTAAACAATAATTAAAAAAATTTTTTTCAAGCAAATAAATTATTTAAAAAAAATTATTGACATGTAGAAATTCTAAAAAATTAAAAATGCAACTTTTTAAAAATAATTTTTCCGATAAAAATTTGTTAAATAAAATAAAAAAATTAACAAGTTATTGTTATCTTTAATGTGATAATTTTTAAAATAAATTTTTCTTGCTATAATATAATTATTTAAAAATAATTAGATAAATAAATTACCAATTTAACGAGAAATTCTTGATTAAATTTATTCCTGGTAACTAATCTAGCCTCCATATTTTTCGTATTATCTCTAATAGCTTCAGCAATACACTTTGCTGAGACATTGGCTAGAGTTCTCATGGTAACGCGCTGATGCTCAACATCAACAACTAACGATATGAGACCTTCAACCCTAACTAGAGTCGCTTCTAGGTCTGTTCTAGTTTCCTGGAAAAGGAGACCAAAATTAAAAAAAAAAAAAAAATTAAATAAAATCAATAAATAAAAAAAAAATTGACAACTTACTGGCAAAAGTCCACTGACATGCAGGACAATAACATGTGTCTTTAATTTCTTTGGTTCTATAACACGCCTGCAACGGCTTCTTAAATTATAAATCGGTGGCTTCATCCGCTCAATGTCATCTTTTACTTTTTGCCCGTACTTGGCTATATGTGGGTCATCAATGCAATATTTATTTATTACAGACTCGAGGGCTTCGCGGATCCCAAATGTCGACGTCAAGTGAACGTAATTTTCAACATTTTTGGTAAGTACTTCCAAAATATCCAGAGCTGTTTCCACTACTTCTACGTCTGGAGATTCTAGGACATAAGCCAGATACGAGAGCACTGTTTTGTCCTGTCAATAAATAAATAAATAAATTAATTAATTAATTAATTAAAATTAATAAAATAAAAAATAAAAATTATCAATAACTGACCTTTAAAATAGTATCATGATTTGAAAAATCATTGGCCAGTTTTTTGTAAGTTTCCAGTGTAGCTCTAACTTGCTCCGAATCTGTCAGATCTTCGCCTTCCATTTCACTGATCATTCTAACACTAATTTTTTCGAACTGACAATTTAACTAAACCATTAAATTATTGTATAAAACAACCTACGTTTGTTATTTTTATTGGAGTTACTTATTATTATATATATATGTCACTTGAGAGAACAGCTGGGGATTATTTGTTTTTTTTTTTTATCATCGATTCCGTAGATTTCTACTCAAGATGGCGGCAAATGTCACTTCTTTAGTTGAGGTTATGTTTGGTATGACTTACAATTTTTTTATTTTTATTAAAAATCAATTATAAAAAAAAAATATTTTTTTAAAATTTGCATTTGCAATTTTTTTATAATAATTTACTTAATAAAAATATGATACTGAAGTTATCTATCAGCTGTCAATTTTTTAAATTTTTATTACAAATCAATTCCAATAAAAAAAATGCTTCTAAAAATTTTTAATATTAATTTTCACATGTGAAATTTTTTTTTTTATAAAATAATTTTTAATGTCAGTCAATGACATTAAAGTTAGCAGCCGCTTAATAATTTTTTAATTTAATTTAACAAAAAAATTTCTTTCAAAAAATAATTTAAAAAAAATTACATTTTTTATTTTATGAAAATTAGCTGACTTTTAAAAATTTTTAGAATTTTTTTTATTTAAAAAATTAGTACAAAAAAATTAAAAAAAAAATTTCATTTGTAAAAAACTTGAAAAATTATAAGTGTAATTTTTTAAAAATATTTTTTAGTTAAAAATTAATTAATGAAAAAAAAATAAAAAAATTAAAAATGTCGGCTAACTTTAGTATTATAAATTAAGTTAGCCGACATCTAAAAATTTTTAGAATTTTTTTTTATTAAAAAAAATTATTACAAAAATAATAAAATTAAAAAATTCATTTTTAAAAAACTTTAAATGCAATTTTTTAAAAATATTATTTAGTTCTAATTTAATAATTAAAAAAATACTCAAAAAATTGACAATGTCGGCTAACTTTAGTATAATTTAATTTTTGACAATTTTTTTTGCACCAATTTATTTCTAAAAAAAATTCTAAAAATGATTAAATATCTGCTACTTTAATTTTTTCATTATCTGTCAATTTAAGTGTCACAATAAAAATCCAAAAAATTGTCCAATGTCTTAATTACACCATTATAATTTTTTACAATGAACCTATTCTTACGCTGACAGCTAAAATAATTAATTAATTACTAATTACACTACAAGTAAATTAAATTAGAAAAAAAAAATAATTATTTAAAAAAAAGAGTATTATTCAAAAGTTATCATTTATTTTTATCAAGTATCAATTACATAATGAAAATTTTAAAAACAGGTAAAACATTGAAAGTTACATTTCTTTAAATTAAATATTAAATACGAAGGTATTAAAGTTAAAAATAAACTTAGTTAAGGGCATAGAAATAATAATAATAGTTACTAAGATGAAAGATTAGCAAACAAAACAATGGGACAGTGATCACTGCCGTATACTTTGTCCCGAATAACAGTATCACACACTTTGTCCTTAATCCTATCAGAAACTAAATAGTAATCTAATCTCCAGCCGGTGTTCTTTTCCCGAGACTTGCCCAAGTTGGACCAGAAGGTGTAGGCGTCAGTTTTGTCGGGGTAAAAGTGCCTGAAGACATCAACAAACCCAGCTTCTAGAAGACTAGTCATCCCCTGGCGCTCCTCGGGCGTGAACCCGGCGTGTTTGATGTTAGCCTTGGGATTCTTAAGATCTATTTCCTGATGCGCGACGTTGAGATCTCCACAAATGATTACGGGCTTCTTGGAGTCCAGTTCCTTGATGCGTTCCTCGAACAGAGTGTTCCACTTCATCCTCTTGTCCATGGTCTTCAATTTGTCGCCAGCGTTGGGGACATAAACGTTAACGAAGTAAAAGTTCGGATACTCGATGGTCAGCATGCGTCCTTCCTTGTCCAGGTCCGGGTCGTTGATCCCCTCAGTGACGCTGACGAACTCTTCCTTGGAGTACACTGCGATGCCAGAGTACCCAGACTGACCCGTGCTCTCCAGGAACTTGTGCTTGTACCCAGGAATGTTGATGTCGTCAGGCAGCTTCGACAAGTCGCACTTGGTCTCCTGTAGGGCAATTATATCAGCGTCCTCCTTGATGATGTACTCAAACCCGTTCTTCTTCAGCAAGGCCCTGATTCCAGAGACATTCCATGAGCAGACTTTAAAATTCGACTTCTTGCCTTCAGCGTTTTCTTTGTCGCAGTCAAAATTTATCTCATCCAAATTCGTATCGGTCTTATTTGCCGGAGTCTTGGCTTTTTTAGCAGCAGGTTCCTCTTCATCAGCAGTCTCATTCTTCTTCTTATTGGTCCTGGTGCTTCTGCCCTTAAAAGTGTCTTCATCTTCAACTTTTTTCGGTTCATCTTCAGTTTTTTTCGGAGGTTTAGCTTTAGATTTCTTCTTGTCATCACCATTGACCGCCTTTGTCTCAGGATCCTCCTCCTTCATCTCTACATCTTCATCCTCCTTGGCTTCATCAACCGCCTCGGCTTCTTTATCCTCAGCCTTCTTTTTGCCTCGCTTTACTGGAGGCTTTTTCTTGTCATCTTCTTTAGGCTTCTCATCTTTCTTTCCTTTCTTAGATTTTACCTCTTTTTCCTCTTTTTCATCAGCTTCCTCCTTTTTCTTCCTTCCCCTAGTCTTGCTCTGTTTTTCTTCAACCTCTTCAGCAGGTTCGACTTGCTTGCCGCTCTTGACTCCCTGATCAACGTTTTCATTGTCAGCTTCTGAGTCTTCGTCGTTTTTCTTCTTTCCTTTTTTTGATTTTTTTTCTACCTCGCCGCCATTTTCTTCCTCTTTCTTCGCGTCTTTTTTAGCTGCTCTCTTTTTCGGCTGGACTTCTACTTTTTCTTCAGCTGGGTCTTCTTCTTTGGTTTTCTCGGCACGGGTGCGTCCTCTGCGAGGCTCAACTTCGGCCTGTCCATTTGATTCTTCGACCTCCTGAAAATAATTTAATTTATTAATTAGTCAGCTTTTAATTGCTAAATAATTAATAAAATTATTTAATAAAAAAAAATAAATCTTATAATTTTTTTTAATTTTTAACAAAAAAAAAAATTATTCATAATTTTTTATTTTTAACAAAAAAAAATTATTCACAATTTTTTTTTATTCATTTTGAATAAAAAAAAATTATTCACAATTTTTTATATTAATTCTGAATAAAAAAAAATTATCCATAATTTTTTTCATTAATTTTGATAAAAAAAAATTATTTATAATTTTTTTTATTAATTTTTATAAAAAAAAAATTATTCACAATTTTTTTAGTAAATTTAAAAAAAAAATTATTCATAATTTTTTTTATTAATTTTGAATAAAAAAAAATTATTCATAATTTTGGTACTAATTCTTACAAAAAAAAATTATTTACAATTTTTGCAAATATAAAAAAAATTTAATTGTTATAAAAATCCATAAAATTGTAAGATGTCCGCTGATTTCAATTTCATAAATAAAAAATTAACTAACCTTAACAGCAGTGCGTCCACGTTTTGGTGGCATCTTAAATAACTCAAAATAAATATTATTTATACGATTATTTTTCAATGTACTTGGATTTTGATAAATTTTAATAACTTTATTATTTAATTTATACAAAAACGTGGTCCTTAAATGTTTAACGCTAGAAACTACTTGACTTCTTATGAGCGTGTTTCCCATGAATGGACTAACATGCCGAATAAAAATGCCGGTATGCCGAAAAAAACGCGGGAAACTTTGTTACTAAAATAATACTTTTAGAAATTTACGCAATTATTAATTAAAATTTTGCTTTTTCTTATAAGACAATAAATAATTAATATACTTGACAATTTTATTTTTATAATTATAATTATTTTCAGAAGAAAAAGTGACTGTAAAAGAAAAAAATACCTTGGAGAGAAGTCAGCTGATTTCACGCGCATGCGGATTAACTTTCTTAATGGGGTTGTGACTCTGTTTCCGGTTTGAAAATTCCCCGCGGAGTGTTTAAAATTATTTTATCATCGTGGGTGCGGTGTATGCTCTTTCACGTGCTGCCACCTGTAAACATTTTCAAATTATCGCTTTGTTTACAATTGTCATTCCAGTAATTTTTTAAAAATTTTAAATAACAATAAAAAAAAATAATAACATTATTAAAAGAAGAATATAAATAATTTAAAAATATATAATCAATTACAATGTCTTCAGAAAGTGCAGAATTACCAATTACAATTGAATTCGGGTAAAGTTAAAACTAACCTATTTTTATTTATGATAATAAATTTAGCAGATATTTAATAATTTAAAAAATTTTTTTAACCAATTAATTATGGCAAAAAAAATATAAAAAAAAATTGACACGTAGAAATTTTATAAAATTAAAAATGCAATTTTGTAAAAATAATTTTTTGGAACAAATTTTTTCGTTGAAAAAAATTAAAAAATTCTCTAGTGACTGCTAACTTTAATATCATTTTTTATTTTTGTTATTTCTAATTTAATGTGTTCGATTTTTATTATAAAAAAATATATTTTCAGAGGTGGAGCTGAACTTTTGTTTGGAAATAAAAAAAAGCATCAAATAAATTTACCTGCTAACAAAAATTGTAAGTAATTTTTTTTTTTTTTAATTACTAATATGTACATTAAATTTATTATTCAATAATAATAATTTTTTAATACCTACCAGGGACATTAAAAGATTTAATATTTTGGATCCGTGACAACTTATTAAAGGAAAGAGAAGAATTATTTCTACAAAACGACACAGTGTAAGAATTTTAAAATTATTATAATAAAAAAATTAATCATATAAAAATTTTATGACAAGTTTTAATCACGTTATAATTATTTAACCATCTGGTGATAATTTATCAATAAAAAAATGATAAATTATTTCTAACTTTCACGTGAATTGTCATAAAATAACTCCATAAATCATCATCAGTTATCTAAAATTAAAATGACACTAAAGTTAGCTGTCATTTTTTCTATATTCTATTTTTTTTTAACAGACAAATTTTTCCCGAAAAATTATTTAAAAAAAAATTCCATTTTAAAATTTTTAAAATTTCTACATGTCAATTTTTTTTTTACAATTTTTTTAGCCATAATTTATTTGTTAAAAAATTTTTTTAAATCATCAAATAGCTACCAAATTAATGACATTGAAGTTAGCAGTCACTTGACTATTTTTTAATTTTTTTTAACAAATAAATTTGTTCCAAAAATTTTTTTATAAAAAATTGCATTTTTTATTTTTTTAAATGTCTACATGTCAATTTTTTTTTCTAGTTATTTATTACATAATTTACTTGTTAAAAAAAAATTAAAAAAGTAGTCAAGTGACTGCTAACTTCAGTGTCATTAATTTAGCAGCTATTTGATAATTAAAAAAAATTTTTTAACAAATAATTTATGGCTAAAAAAATTGTAAAAAAAAAATTGACATGTAGAGATTTGAAAAAATAAAAAATGCAATTTCCTAAAACAATTTTTTTTTAAATAATTAAAAAATTGTTTAGTGAGTGCGAACTTTAATAATGTCATGCTAAATTAATTTTCATAAAAATAAATAATATAACGAGATACTTTGGATTTATTTTTCAGCCGGCCCGGAATCCTGGTGCTGGTAAACGATTCAGATTGGGAGCTGCTGGTAAGCAAGGGCTTAAAATCAGCCAATTAGTATTAATAAATAATAACTCGTGGTGAATAAAAAAATAATCCCGAGAGCAGACGTAGGAATAAATATAAGCGTATGAAAGAATAGAAATCTTGAAGACTGTGAGTTTTTACCTCAGGAAGGCGATACAGCTGGTGGTGACATTTGACAAATGCCCTTGCTGTCCAAACACCTTTTTTACAGTCGTCAGTGGGTTCCTCGAGAATCTCTATAAGAAGTCCTGGGGAAAAATAAAGGAATCTTTTTGTTCTGGAAACAATTTTCTTGATTCTTCTCTCAGCTCGGGCGATACCTTCTCGGTTTGCGTCCTAAGGAGAGAAGCTAGAGCGTTTGATAGACGAGGGCGACAAGTGAAAGAGCACAAATGACTTCCGTTAGCCACTCCCACAAGAGTTAAATTATCATTTTAAATTTGTAAATGTAGCTTCCCAAGGCCGACGCGTTGGCTATTAAGATACGAAAGGTATACGAGAAGTACGCGAGAGCAGTCTCCAGGGAGAGGACGGAATGAAAGAGCAAGAATCGAGGGACAAGAGATGTGTTAGCTCTAAGTGCGATAGAGAATATTATGAAGGAGAAATGAGAATAGGGAATAAGAGAGAAACCAGACGGTAGAAAGATGATGGGTTTGCCCATTATTATGATAATACCCACGTTTCACGAAAGCTTTCTGCTGTGCTGTTATATTTTTTCGTGTTGCTGCTTTACTTTTTTATTATCATTATTATTGTATATATCTATTCGTTTCTTTCACTTGTTTGTTCTCTTTCTCTAAACTTTTTTATTTTATTGTTTTTATAGTCTTCGCGCCCACACGAGACACCCCTTTATTTATTATTTTTTCACACTATTATGCCTCGTAAATTATTAAGTCACAACGTCCTAAATTTTCTTACTGAAACAGCTTCCTCAAAGCGCTAAGTAGTTTTGCGATACTGCCTTCTGCACCACCAAATGATAAACTCTAACACATAATTAAGGTTCTTCTTCAATTTATCAAGATGAATTTATTTTAATATATTATTACTTCGTACAGAAATAATTTATTTAAAAAAAATAAATGAATCTATATTATTAAGAGAATAAGAAAAATTTTAAGTCCAGGATAGTCATATGATAAAATCGGTTTTTTTAGTGAAATTTAGTGTCATTGCAAAGGTTTTGATTTGAATTTATGCCTTTTAAAAGTTTCAAATGATTCTCATCGATAGTCAATTTATTATGATAAATATTTAGTCTGCATTCGAAAATGCTCTATCTCTAGATACATAATTGAGAAATGACCTTGTATTTCGTAAACTATTGACATTTTTAAAGATATAAGCTCATCCCGATGTTACACCCATCAAGACCTTTCATTTGAGTACCCACATCAATTTTTCTTATATATTCATATATATTATATATATATATGTATATATGAAAAATATATCAAAAATGCATGTTGGTACTCAAATGAACAGTCTCGATGATTGTAGTATCGGGATGAGCTTATATCTTTAAAAACTCCAATATTTAAGGAAGTACAGTGCAATTTAACAAAAGTCATTCTTTAATCAAGCAAATTTTTATTTATTTATAGTTCACAGTTGCTAGTATTTATTATTTGTTGAATTTCAAGATTTTAGCAATTAAATTATTTATTTAAAATACTTTTAATAATTTTTTTTTTTTAATTAACTATTTTTAAAATTAATTTATTTGAATTTATTTTTAAAAAATGACTATTTCAATTTTTTTTATATTATTAATTCTTGACATCATTTGTAACTAATAATTCTTTTTTTAGGGTCAAGGAGAATACAATTTATCGCCTAATGATACCGTACTTTTCATATCAACGCTCCACGGAGGTTAATTCACCCGCATATATATATATATATATATATATATATATATATATATGCGGGTGAATTAACCTCCGTGGAGCGTTGATATGAAAAGTACGGTATCATTAGGCGATAAATTGTATTCTCCTTGACCCTAAAAAAAGAATTATTAGTTACAAATGATGTCAAGAATTAATAATATAAAAAAAATTGAAATAGTCATTTTTTAAAAATAAATTCAAATAAATTAATTTTAAAAATAGTTAATTAAAAAAAAAAAATTATTAAAAGTATTTTAAATAAATAATTTAATTGCTAAAATCTTGAAATTCAACAAATAATAAATACTAGCAACTGTGAACTATAAATAAATAAAAATTTGCTTGATTAAAGAATGACTTTTGTTAAATTGCACTGTACTTCCTTAAATATTGGAGTTTTTAAAGATATAAGCTCATCCCGATGTTACACCCATCAAGACCTTTCATTTGAGTACCCACATCAATTTTTCTTATATATTCATATATATTATATATATATATGTATATATGAAAAATATATCAAAAATGCATGTTGGTACTCAAATGAACAGTCTCGATGATTGTAGTATCGGGATGAGCTTATATCTTTAAAAACTCCAATATTTAAGGAAGTACAGTGCAATTTAACAAAAGTCATTCTTTAATCAAGCAAATTTTTATTTATTTATAGTTCACAGTTGCTAGTATTTATTATTTGTTGAATTTCAAGATTTTAGCAATTAAATTATTTATTTAAAATACTTTTAATAATTTTTTTTTTTTAATTAACTATTTTTAAAATTAATTTATTTGAATTTATTTTTAAAAAATGACTATTTCAATTTTTTTTATATTATTAATTCTTGACATCATTTGTAACTAATAATTCTTTTTTTAGGGTCAAGGAGAATACAATTTATCGCCTAATGATACCGTACTTTTCATATCAACGCTCCACGGAGGTTAATTCACCCGCATATATATATATATATATATATATATATATATATATCATGACAATAAAAAAACTTGAAATAAATAAATAAATAAAAGGAATCGAATAACGGTGTGGTAATTTATCTAAATGAAAGAAAATAGCCGAGGCGCCCGACCTTGGTGAGAATAATTGGCGTCAATTAATAACATTTACGGTATTGGGTGAAGAAAAATCGATGTAAGAGCCTCTAACGAGGTGTCCCTGGTGTGAGTATGTGAATATGTGTGCTGTAAGCCCATAGAGTTCGGTAGAGAGCCCAGAGATCATTCTGGATTCTATATCCTGGATGATGATAGCGGCGAGGGTGGACCCAGGACCCAATCGTTAATGGTCTGGCAGGTTGTGATGGTCCAGTGATTAATTGTGTCACCTATGATTACATCACTGTGTGCATCCACTATATTATATATGGTTGCGCTCATGGAGACGACACAGGAGCGAGAAGAGAAGAGCGCTGCGCTGGACTGTCCATGAGCTCCCGGATTACGGGATACGCGCGATACTAACGCGGCCATGTGTATTTACGCACGCTCGAGGTACTCGGGTTTGCGTTACGTGCTCGAGCGACCAACTTTGCAATTCGGTTGAGGCCGTTACCTCGCTAGATTTATGCAGCTAGTCAGTAGAACCTCGTTTCACATTCATCTGTACCACGGACAACGATCGCCATCCGACACATCCAGTTACGAGCTTTAATCGTAAATATTTTTTTCAATTTATTTTAAGTATTGCGCATACTTGTTTCAGATAAATTTCACTCCGAGTATAATTACAATCACTCCAAAATATATCAAACTCTCTCCTTTTTCAAGTGTTATTTATCTCCAGGTCAAAAGTCTCAACTTTGATCGAAAAATTAAAATTTTTTTTTACAAAAATTTTTTTACCAGATTAATTATTTCAGATTGGCAATTTTTCTATTTTGATTGCTTTTAATCACAATACTTCATCCGTGGAACAGCATAAATTTTTGGGTTGCGTATGAATTATAGTTATGTTATTGATAATAAGATTTTATGACCTATCGAGAACGTTAACCCCTTTTTAAATCATACTGCGTTGATAATTGGTCATAAAAATGAAGTTTAGTGTGATGGAACGAAAAATTAATTCTTTTTTATCGAAAAAAAAAAAAACCAATTAAAAAAAATTGAAAATAAAGAAATTTGATTTTTTTTTAATACTTCTAAATGTTTTTAATACTATAAAATTTTTTCTTATAAAAAAAAAAATCAAAGATTTTTTAATTGTAAATTTAGTTTAGTTTATTAACAATTATGCCAAATAGCAAAGAAAAAATATACATAAGAATTTTTTACATTATTGTAAAGTTTAAGCTACATACATTTAAAGTGTTTTACATAAAAATATTTTAAGGATAAATAATATTGAATTGATATAAAATTATGAATGAATATAAAAATTGAATTTATAAAAAACTAACTAACAAATTTAAGAGTCTCGTATAAGTTTACTAAGAATTTGAATACTAGCAATAAAAATAAGAGAATTGACTAATAGTTTAGGGTCAAACATCAAGATTAAATAAATAATCAAACATCTTCTTTGAAAATCTCTAAGCTAGACGAATTTATAATATCTTCCGGTAATTCTTCCCATAGTCGTATCACTATAACAACGAAGTGATTCATATTGGGTTGTACTGAAATTCTGTAATTTAAAGAGGATATTATTGGAATGTGAATGGCTAGATAATTCAGTGTTGTTTATGTACAATTAATAGAATAAAATAAAAACCAGAAGATATATCGGCTGCCCAATTTTAAAACACAGTAACTGCAAAATTTTTACACCTGATTTTTTTTTCAGTATTGTTACATTTCTTATCACGCTTAGACCTTAATTTCAGGTAATTTTTCTTAAAAATATTTATATTCAAGTATTTTCTATTCATAAATCAAATTTTTTTATTGATTTGGCGCGCAATCTTATGTGAATGGCTAGATAATTCAGTGTTGTTTATGTACAATTAATAGAATAAAATAAAAACCAGAAGATATATCGGCTGCCCAATTTTAAAACACAGTAACTGCAAAATTTTTACACCTGATTTTTTTTTCAGTATTGTTACATTTCTTATCACGCTTAGACCTTAATTTCAGGTAATTTTTCTTAAAAATATTTATATTCAAGTATTTTCTATTCATAAATCAAATTTTTTTATTGATTTGGCGCGCAATCTTTTTTTTAATAAGAAAAATTTTTAAAAATCTTAAAATTGTCAGTTACTGTGTTTTAAAATTGGGCAGCCGATATATCTATATATATTGTGTACATTCATCCCACTAGAAGCGCGTACATATTATTGTGCTATTTTAGCTGTTTTACATATTTTTTTCACATTTTTTATTTTATTAATATTTCATAATTAAATGAGCATTATGAGTCGTGCACTTTTAGATTTTTCAAACTTTTTTATTATTTTTTCACAGGCGTGATAACGGGGCGAGAAAAAAAAAAGATTGTGGGGCTTATTACGTTAAAGCTGATCGAAATGGCTTATAAAAATATTCTTGTTTTAAAGTTGAGACAAGTTTTGCAAGCCAAGTAGAAAGGATCGACATTTAGTTGTTGGAGTTTGGTAAGCTCGGGCCAACTCTCTCGGTTAACTCCTGGCCGACAGTTTGACATTCGGAGGATCGAAGCGACTGCCAAAATAAGGATATTGAATCCGGGTGTCGAGAGGAGTCACTTACCAACTGGATGCTGGCCATTGGAGGGTCAGCGAACAGTCCAATCCGGCTCGGCAATAGTAAAAATGATAAAATAAGGTGAGAGAGAACAAAGTTGGCAAATGTTTAACAAAGATCGAGAAAAGATCCGAGAGCTGGAGGGAAATGAAAGGCAAAGTTAGCAGTTAGTGGTCGTTTTACTTTCCAAGTACATCTTGGATTTCAGTTATCTGCACACCTTGCTACCAAAATGACCCCGGGCATAAAACTAAATATACATATATTTAATAATAAGTACTTGTTATTTTCATCTCCACCTCGAGCGGGTCTTTTCAACTTAACTTTGCGCTATTAGACCGGAAACTGCTCCACGCTAATGCGTCCCCAACTTTTAACAGCTTGACTTGGTTCTTACATTTCTGGTTCAGACTCGGTCCAATCTTAACCGTCCATTTCTTCCAACCAATTTTAACAAACGGTTAAGCTCAGCTATCCTTCCTCTCCTTGGCTCGCCTAAATTGCTTGTATATTTTCAATAGAGCGCCGTGCAGTTGAAAGCTTCATTCAATTATGCCGGTAGATTATCGCCGACAAAAGAACCAAGACTCTCCAGAATGAATTTCATTAAATCGGAGGAGATTAAAAGTTTAGGTGTTTCGTCGATTTACTACTGATAGCTCTTTAGTCATCATTGGGCCCAAGATTTTTCCAGATAATATTTTGTAAAAAAAAAAGCTGTTGAAAATTTTAATTTTTTACTAAATGTGTCTTATAATTTTCTAAGAAAAAAATTATTAGAGACATTTTTTTGTTAAATTCAATTTTTAACAAATTTTCTTAAAAAAAATTTTTTTAAGGATCAATTTTACCTCCGTATCTTTATATATATATATATTTCTTCTGTGCGTGTGTTTGTCACTGAACTCCTCCTAAACGGTTGGACCGATTTTAATGAAATTTTTTGTGTGTCTTCCGGTGGATTCCAGAATGGTTTAAATTTACAATTCAGTCCACGGGAAAATGTTTATTTAATAGATTTTTTATTTATAAATTGTTTTTGATTTTGAGTACACACATGCACTTTTCATATATTTCATAAATATCATATATATAATAATATATAAAAAAATTCATGTGGGTACTCAAATAAAAGGTCTCGATGAGTATAAAATCGGAATGGACTTATATTTACGAAAATGTTAATAATTAACGAATGACTATTGCATTTTGTTAACTAATGATGTTTTTAACTATATAAGCTCATTCTCAAAATTTCTAAATTTAAGACGTGTGTATAGGACAATAACTGTCGGGTCCGC